CGGCTGGGCTGGAGTGCAATGGCGCGATCTCAGCTCACTGCAACCTCTGCCTCCTGGGGTTCCAGCACGATCTTGTCTCACTGCAACCTCTGCCTCCGAGTTCAAGCAATTCTTCTGCCTCAGCACCCCCCCAAGTAGCTGAGATTACAGGTGCCTGCCACCATGCCCAGCTAATTTTTGTATTTTTAGTAGAGATGGAGTTTCACCATGTTGGCCAGGATGGCCTCGAACTCCTGACCCCATGCGATCCACTTGCCTTGGCCTCCCAAAGTGCTGGGATTACAGGCATGAGCCTCCATGCCCAGCCCTCAATTACTGTTTTTTAAAAAATATAGAATTGTACAATTTTAGATCTGAAAGAAAGTCATCTAACAATTCATCAGTTTTTGAACATTTAGTACTGGTTACACATTTAGTATGGAAGGGGCACTAGAAACTAACAAAATTAGCCAGTATCAAATACCTATTAGGTAATAGATTTTTAATTTACTAAAAAGACACCTATCACACTATTCTGTCAGAAACAAGAAGAGGCAAAGTGGTCACTTTGTTAGGCAATTACAGTTTTATCCATTTCACTCTTATATTGCCAATTTTTCAATACCAAAACTGTAATATCTTTAGTTTTTTTTTTTCTCTATCTGTTCACACCTACCAAAAATGGACCATCAGCCATTCTGGTGCATACCTGCTAAATGTTCTATAGAGTTAATGCACACAAAATCACATGTGTGAAAAGGAAGATTGTTGGTGGCTCCTACATAAGACACAGACAAGACTTGTCATAGTTGTCACATGGGTATGGTGGGTTGTCGCTGCACAAGTTGTTTCTAATTAGAATAGAGAACCAAAGTTTGAAAATACTATGGTTTCCTTTGTATATATATTAGAGATGAGTGGGGTGCATGCCTGTAACCTCAGCACTTTGGGAGTCCAAGGCAAACAGATCACTTGAGGCCAGGAGTATGAGACCGGCCTGGCCAACATGGCAAAACCCTGTCACTACTAAAAATACAAAAATTAACTGGGCATGGTTGTGGTGCACACCTGTAGTCCCAGCTACTTGGGATGCTGAGACAGAAGAATCACCTGAACCCGGGAGGTGGAGGTTGTATTGAGCTAAGATCATGCCGTCGCACTCCAGCCAGAGCCTCAGAGTGAGACTCTGTCTCTAAATAAATAAATATATACATATAATACACACACACACACACAGACATATGTATATTAGAGATGACTAGATTATCTAGGTGATAATGTCATTCCAACATGGGAGAGAAAAGGCTGGAGTTACAGCTATGTACCAGAAACTACAAATACCTTATCTATGCCATAGCCCCTAAGTCAAATACCCAGGGAATATAGCATATCTGTGAACATCATCCTATCACCCATTGTGTGTATTGTAAGGGGAAGTGGTTAGGAGCCTAAAGGCTTATGATGTCATTTCTTCTTCTTTCTTTATCTTGTTCTGTTCCTTCTCTTTCTCATTCCTCTTTTGGCACCTGCATTGGGTTGCTGTCCTCTAATGTACCAAGATCATCAGTTCAATACAATTTGTATTTGATGGGCATCTTTATGCTTGTGTTTTTACCCCAATATCTGGGTTGCACACCCCCTCTTCTCATGCCCACCTGCCTTCTCAGATGTTTTCTTATCCCCACAAAACAGATTGGGAGCGCCTTGAGGAAAGGGAACAAGACTTAAGCTCATTTGTATTTATCCCCTGACTTTATAATCTAGTGAGTAGTTGCTCAAACATTTTTCTGACATGAAAGTTAATGGATGAATGAATTAATGAATAGGAGGTAATGGGAGATAAAAAGAAACCCTCACCGTATTGGTGATATTTTATTTATTTAAAAATTCTAAAGCAGGCCAGGTATGGTAGCTCACACCTGTAATCCCAGCACTTGGGGAGGCCAAGGTGGGAGGATTGCCTGAACCCAGAGGTTCAAGACCAGCCTGGGCAACATTGGGAAACCCCATCTCTACAAAAAAAAATTTTTTTTTAATTAGCCACTCATGGTGGTGCACATCTGTGGTCCCTCCTACTCAAAGGCTGAGTTGGGAGGATCTTTCAAGCCTTGGAGGTTGAGACTGCAGTGAGCTGTGATCACTGCACTCCAGCCTGAGTGACAGAGTGACACCCTGTCTCAAAAAAAAAAAAAAAAATTCTAAAGCAAACATGTCAGAATATTAACATTTTCTAAATCAGGATGGTAGACATATGAATATACATTATCTTATTCCCCATAGTCTTCATGTTTGGCAACTTCTGTAATACTGAAAAACCAAGATGAGCGGTGGAGGTGATAGCAGTATGACAAAATGTCTTTATTCAAGGAATGTCATCATTTAATTAGGGACTTGTTCCAAGTGCACATGATTGCAGAAGTGTATTGGATTGTACATTTTTAGGAGTTGACAGGCTAGATATTTAAAGAAAAACACACTAAATAACTCTGAAACTAGAAAAGTAGGAGTTGACACTACCTATCCAATTTGTAGGGCATCCTAGGAGTCAGCAGGTAAACACTTTTGTTATTTTCTAATACATATTCAGCCTCTATGAACTGTGAAATGTTATCAGGAAGAACTGGATAGAACTAGACAACCAGCTACTGGCTAACTAAATACCTAAGCATTGGTAGAAAGCTCATGGAAATTTGTGGCAAAATACATTTGCCTCTTTAGGTCAGATCTTCTCTTCCCCTTCGTCCTACTTTCTACCTGGAGGGTTGACCTGTGTGGACCAAATCGATGGACCCTCATGACTTCTGGCTTCTAGTTGGGTTCATATAGAATCAAAGAAAGGGAGGGAGAGATGAAGGAAAGGGAAATCAGGTTGCTTAATCCCCTTGTTCCCTTCCTGTAAGGTTGTCTCCATGACTCTACATGCCTCTGTATGACCCCTCACCTCAGTCTCCTCATCCCTTTGTCCTTATAGCTCATTAAGAAGCACTAGATAGGCAGGATGTGGTGGCTCATGCCTGTAGTCCCAGCACTTTGGGAGGCCAAGATGGGCAGATCAGCTGATCCCAGCAGTTTGAGGCCAACCTGGACAACACGGTGAAACCCTGTATCCACAAAAA